TTTGAGATCTGGACTTTAAACTCTTGTTTATAAAGTAGCCATGACTCAAAGAAGGGTAAATACTTCAGTTTAAGCTGGGCACAGGCCTATTCTAGTTTACCCATAACAGTTTATGGGTACTTTTAAAGCTAGAAAATTACAAAATAATGCAACACTTATATAGTATTACATGTGACTCAAAACCTAAAACACAAATAAATTCTCATACAGCCAATTCATAATATATATACAGACATAGGTATCTCATTATTAACTCCATTAACATTTTCAAGATTTCTGAAGAAAAAAAATCTTTAATAATAGGATAGTTTTTTCTTGTCCAATGACAAGGTCATCTATTGTTGATCATTGTACAATAGACATAAAATGGTTATATTACATTACTTGTTTAATAAATGTCAGCTCCTTTAGCATTATCCAAGGATAATAATGGTATTTTCCTCATACATACAATAGTTGGAAGTTATATAAGGATCATTTCATACCAACAATTACTGTCTGAAGAGGTACATTATGGTTTTATACTGCAATAAGATTCAGAGTCTAAAAAACAAACCTTAAATATCATATATGTAGGAGTATGGCAAATCTTTGCCATTCCTTAACAGACAAGGTACTTGAATGTCCACCTTAACAAAAGGGGAGCAAATATCAAAGTCAATTGATCGAGGTGCAAATGTTCATTTTCCTAATGAAACACACAACCTAAACCAGAATTCATCATTAATTTTTCCATTAGTGCAGTTACAACATAATCCCAGAAAACTTTACCTCTATATAAAAAAGATGAAACCATGTCTAATGTTTCAAATAAATATGGGATTATAAATACAACAGATACAAAATGAAATTTATCACTCACCCTCAAGTCACAGTTTCCATGGTTACTGTTTATTTTAAAATCAAATTTTGATTCTATGTAATTATGATTGTCTCTATATAATGATGGAGCATGGAGAATATGGGCTATATGCCTTAGTAAAGGCTGAATCATTATCAAACACTGACATTTTAATCAGGACAAGAAAATGGAAAGACAATTTTTACAATGTTTCCATTTTGGTAATTACAGAGAAATATTTTATGACCTTATAGCTAAGAATAAAATGTTGATGGCAGATTATCTCGACTTAGTTCTATAGGTAAAAGGGAAAGTTAATCCATTTTTCATACTTACTTATATAACAAAATGTGACATCATGTTATACCCCTGTGTGAAATTGTTTACTATCAATTACACACAATATTTTTCAAGAATGCATACATCTAATTTAATTAAATTTATCACCAAAATATATCAGACTTAGCATGAATGGACTTAAAAACCACTGTAAAAACTGTGTATTACTGACGTTAGTGTAGTATGTTCACAAGTATTGCTGCAGCGATGCAGTGGCATTGCCAGTAGAGGCCTTGGGATCATATACTGTGCACTAAGAGTTTGCAAAAAAACAAACACTGTTGAATAGCATTCTGATAATAGCATTTTGTTAAGAGAGTGTTTAAACCTAGCTTTTACAGAAACAAGCACGATATTTATGTCTTGAAAGCATGTCTACCACAAATTAACGGTGGCACTTTTTCCAATTAGAGAGGAGTTTTAAGGCTGATAATTACCATGGTAACAAAGAATGCTGTGACAGATAATCACTGTAAAACTCTATTACATGGTGTAATGATATAATGCCATCATAATGTAAAATTCTGTTTTTTTAGGCTTAAAAGTCTATTTCCATACCTGTTGAATTGAAATTTTAATGATTTCTTAAAGTCTAACATTTTTACTATCCTATCTCTGAACATTGTTTTGCTTGTAAAAATGAACATTTTCCATTATATTTTACAAGTAAAAAGAAAACTTGGCTTGAATCACTTTCAAACTTTGTTCTGTAGGGAGTGTTTATAAATGATTGATGTAATTCTAAGATGTAATTCTAATTGTTCCCTGCTACCAGACTATAAGTACATTCAATTCCTATATAAAGCTGACTTTTAATATAAACAATTTTCTATAAACTGAATGGTAATTTCCGTTAAGCATTCCATCATATTTTTTTATTCAAAGAGGGTAAAACATAAGATCAACAGCAGCCTAACTCACTAATTACAGAAATCCATTAAAACATAAATCTTTCTTATGATTGATTTATTTCTAAGTATATCATAGTTTAATGGACTTGATTTATGAGTATATCAGAGTTTAAACATGTTTGCTGATGGGAAATACTTATCTATGAATTATTATAAACAAGAAAAATTATTTTGAAATTATGTAAGCCAGGGTAATATAGTTTATGAAAGCCTCTCCAGGACAGAATCACACATGGTGGGCAGCACTAATAAAGGACTTAAGAGATTTTATGTGCATTTTAGTGTTTGAAATTAGTTTTTTGTCCGATAGGACTGCAGTATTTCAAATGAATCGTGAACACATTTACTTTGGTAAATTGGCAAACTATTAATAAGTCTAGTGAATCGACTGTTTATAAAAATAATTTTAAACACTAAGCTGGTTAAAATTTATAAGTATGTATTTACAAATTAAATTTAATTTTGTAAATATCTACTAATAAACCTTAACTGATACATAAGTGCCAGTTAAATTTTGGGTGGTTACTGATTGGCGAGGTTGTTTCATAAAAACCTTACACATTGTTAGCCATATTAAAAATGGCAAGGGAGGTAATCATGATGATAAATACTTTTGTGAAATTTTAAAGTTGGTCAAACTAATGCGTACATGGAAAGTCCCAAAAATTTCTACCTAGAATTAATTACTGGGACATCAAATACAAAAGTTTGTTATAATGTGTAAGAAATCAAATTGTCAGTCAAGCTAAAATTTTATGACATAATGAGAATTTTACTACCATGGAGCTGTTATCACAGAACAGTTCTTGGGAGCTAACCATCCTTGAAGGAGAAACAAATAAGCTTAACATGAACTGTTCACTTGTTGCCAAACTAATTAAATTTAACTGCAGAAATGAATCATCAAAATAAAATAACTTTATAACAATTTAACAATAGCCTTTTCACTAAGTTTTTCTGATTGGTACAGTAGTTGGATATCCTGTATTACATGTACTAATAGAGAGGGGTTTTGTCTGCTAGTACCAATGGCTGTTATTATTTTTCTAAATTAGCTGAGAGGCATTTGATCATGGGGGAGGGAGGGCGTCATTGAGATACAACTGTTTCACATATTAGTTTTCAATCTCTTTGGATTACATTAACTTCTTGTTTTAATGAACTGTTGTAATATTACCTGTAAATAATGATCTTACCTGTAACTGTATTTCATTGTTATCACCCTTTCTTCACATGAGGTGTTGTAAAATTACACAACTATCAACTGTTAGACATCAAGCAAATTACAACAATCTTGAGTGTAGAAAACACTTACCTACAATTAGACAAAATAAATACAACATTAAACCAAATTAATGGGAGAAAACAATAAAGCAAAACTGTTTAACTGTTAATTATATGAAGGCATTCTCAGAAGAGGATATTGCAACATAAAAGAAATAACAAAACAGCACATCGTCATTAGTGAATACCTGAAAAATAATAGAACTAAAATATTGCTTTGATGTATATAATTATGGTAGCCTTTCAATGGTATTTCTAGATGACCTGAAAAGTGTAATATCATATAAACAATTACTTATCTTATTTTATTGATGCACTGTTTGTTTTAATATTGTAAAACAATACTTCTTCATAATTCACACATTGAAGACAATGTCAAAAAGATATGTAATAGAAAACACAAGGCTATCTGATTTGTACAAGGGGGCTGAGTTAAGTGTCTTGATGTTCTTAAACACTTAACAATATGAAGCCAAAGAAAAAAATGTAATCAAAGTACAAGCAACATAAATATATCCCATTCTCTGTTGTCCCAATAAGTGAACTCCAAAAAAATGTAGCCAATCAACTGTGAGTGAGTCAACAATCAACAGACAGTGCTTTAACTGGAGTGCAGGTAACTTAAATACCTGCACTCAGTTAATGCACTGTGCATTAATGGGTATTAATGCACTGTGCATTAATGGGTATAAGATTTAAGTCTGACACATTATAGCTAGAGAGATAGAAGATTTAACAATTCAATCAGAGAAAAAAGCTGTTAAAAAGTCAATTGTTACAATTTACAAAGTATGTTGCAATGACGCAAAAATGTACCAATGTTAAAAAACTGAACAAAATTAAAATTTCTAACCAATTTTCACTAATTAGTGACAAGAAGCAAGAAGAGAAAAAGCATGTTGCACAAAAAAAAATATTAGTACATTAAATTCATTACAATCTTTATCAGGGGAGAGCAAAAGAAAAGATTAAGTTAGACATAGAGAAAATGAGGGTAAAGGAAGAAAACTTAAATGTGTATTTCAAATACTGGAGACTGTAAACAGTGATTGGCTGTGACAAGGACATCCTGATAAATGTTATTTATCAGTATAGAAATCTTCAATCATTCCAGTGCTAATGATGTTGTATAGTACTGTCACAACATCTCTCCTGTCCAATTAATTTGTGTGTCTCCTACACGGCTTCCTTAAAGTATAACTGACTGTATCTGACAACTAAAAAAAAGACAACCCCTTAACTGACAAAATCTAGAAATCTATAATCACACACCATGTTCCAAAAATAATTCTTATAATTCCTCCAGTTGCTTTTTACATCTACTGAAAATTATAACTAATATTGACATGTCTATAATATACATTTGTTAAAACTTTGTTATAAATATTTCAGAAATTTATAGACGCAAACAACAAAAAATACACATACTGTATCTCTATACTATATCTATTTTATTTGTATAATTATGTTAATGATTGAAACAGGTCACAAAAAGTAGTTAACTTTTTTCAATGCTACATATTAAATAACTTGCCACACTCATGGTATCCAAAACCTTCATTACTTAATATTTTTGTTTCATGTCAGAAAATTTAATAACATATTTCTCTTTTTATACATTGCAGGTTATTTTCCCCTTGGAGCCCAGTTCTGTGCATTCTGGGTAACGATGGATGTTCTAATGTGTACAGCTTCAATCTGGCATATGTGTACCATGAGCATGGATCGGTACTTTACACTGAAATATCCGATGCAGTACGGGCGGAACAAAACAAAAACAATGGTGGCCGTGAAAATTGTATTTGTCTGGATAGTTTCATTTACAATCAGCAGTCCAATATCTATTTATGGTTTATCACAAGAAAGTTCAGTGTTTAATGATAGGACATGTGTGATAACAGTGAAGGAATTTGCCATTTATGGTTCTATCTTTGCATTTTATGTCCCTCTTATCATCATGATATTAACTTATACATTAACAATTCGTATATTATGGCAGAATCAACACATGATGAGAACTATTGACAGATCTCATTTCCGAATGCGCCCTCGGAATAATAAAACACGAAATAAATCTACACTTGCTGCTACGATGCTCTCACCACCAAGTTCTGACTCTAGGAGAGAAAGCCATACTGACATATCCTCACTGGCCAGAACACCAAACATTGAAAAAGTCAATCTACCTGAATGTACAGAATGCGACTTGAAATTTCTGGAATTGAAACATGCACTGGACAAAACATATGAAGCAACTATCACTGCTCCAATTACTGATGGTACTAATGACTATATTAATCATGTTCATTTTGATCAACACGAAACAGACAAAAATGTTGGCTCAGCAGAGAAAACTGACAACTCTGAAAGTGCAACAGGGTTGCTGAATATTGATCAGAATCCAATGCTAAATGTGCCAATAACTATGATTCAAAGTCCGTCTTCTGAAGATGAAGATGAGCATTCAGCCCTCTTATCATCCAGTACTGAAAGACTTTCTCGATCTTTCAGCCATTCATCAACTGGGTCAAGATTTAGACCAAGAACAAACACTAATGTATCTAGTAAGAGCTATCTTAACACCCATTCTAGTCTCAAAATACCCAAAACTTACGAAAAAAATAATCTTCAAGCATCTGTTTCTTGCTCTAACTTTACTGACAGCAAATCTAAAGAAAAAGCTTTACTTGATCAATTAGGTTTCCAAGGAAACGGACTTAATCGTGACTTTAGATCTTTAGAATGGTGTCATCATTTCTATGAGATTCAAGAAGAAATGGACGAATGTTTAAGAGAATCAAAGCGTGAACGCAAAAAAGAAACTTTGGAAGAAGCTAAACGAAAGTTAACTTGCCAACCAACTCCAAATTTAAATATGAATACTTGTATTAAACAACCAACTGAGACAAATGATAGTGCAATAGTTATAAGTACACATGTAGATGAATTGAAACCAATACAAAATGCTGAGTTGTCGGAATCAGCCGATTCTATGGACGAAGGTGATTCGTCTTCTGAAAATAGCTCCGACATTCTTTCTATCAAACTTCATCCCAAGTCTGTTTACATGTACAAAGTTAATAACGTCAATGGAAAACCATTTTCAAAATTACAAAGTACAGTAAATGAAAACAGTGCTTTAAACAATGGCGACATTTATAAAAGACAAAGTTATGTTAGAGAGAGTCCCTATGACTCGGACAAGTCATCAGAAAATAATCATAAAATTATTCGAAAGCCTAGTAGCATAAAACGCTTCATTTACAAGTGTAAGAAACGACGTGGTATCAAAAACCTCATATCTTCTAAAACAACATCAAATGAAAGAAAGGCATCCAAAGTGCTCGGAATTATTTTTGCTGTTTTTGTGATATTGTGGACACCATTTTTTATTGCTAACATACTGTCAGCAACATGTGAAAGCTGTAGCAAGTATATTACACCAGAAATGATGTCATCATTTGTATGGATGGGCTATATCGCATCTCTAGCAAACCCGATCATTTATACAATGTTCAACACAGCATTCAGAACTGCCTTCCTTAAAATCTTATCGTGTAAACTGTGTGGGAAAGGACGTTCACAGTACCATCGTTCTAGTATTCCAAGCCACCCTGCGTCAATGTTTCATGACAGACGACAAACACTTACAGTTCTAATCAACGGTCAGCAGGATAGAATACATAGTGACTTTAGTTCTAACGGAAGATAAAATTTTACATTTCTAAATAGTTCTTAATAATTTACTAATATATTACATCTGTGATATGTCTTTTATTACATTTAGTGCAATACATTTGTATTGGTAAAAAGGAATTGTTAAAAACACAAAAAGAACAAGAATGATCAATTAATAATTAATTGATTTTCAATATTTTTGAAAAAATCTTTAGGTTGAAACTTTTGCCATGATATACAGAAATTAATAAAGAAATAGAAACAAATCTATATTGCGAAACAAATATATTGCAGAATTAATATGATTTTATTTTCTAACTCTGTGTGTCAGCATGCAGTGCCAGACTTGATTATTATGATAAGGAATCAAATCTTCAATAAAAAAAGTTCTTGTACAATTTTAATGCTGATAACTTTGGTCCTTTATTTAGTTTTAGTTCTAGAACTTAAAAATGCCTTTACATCATGAAAGACTTATGGGAATGCATAAAGGCACCATTAGCTGAATAAAAAGTTAATTAAGATATTCATTAGAAACACACTAAGTCTTTCTGGTACAGAAGGGTTTAAGAGGAATAAAATATTCTGAACAATATATGCTATAATGGTTGTAATTTTGATTAGTTAAGTTAGAACAAAATTGAAACTAAATAAAATTACAATTTACTTAAATTTAACCCAGCAGAACAGCCCAATAATTTAAATGCTGAGTTGAGGATCTAAGTAGAATCAAAGTGTCTGTTTCTTTTTCTTAATGAGGAACGAGTTCCTATTAAAATTATCTTGAAGGACAAAATGCAAAGTCAGGGCATGCATTTTTAATTGTCTTTATTTCAAAACAAGTTGAATCAACAATTCCCTTGTAATTTAAAACCAGTAAATTCAATAATTTACATTTATTCTGTAACCAGTCCAATGTCCATAAAACATTAAAAAACTAGTCCATCAAAACAATTTCTCTGAGTTTTAAACCAAGTTCAATATATATTTTTTTCTTATTTGAATAAGGTTATTTATCATTTTTTCATATAAAAAACTTCTATTGTCTTTAAGCTTATTTTAAATTTATATTTTAATATTTAAGATGTACATTTCAAGTTTGTTGTGGCATTTATGTGTTTTAGTGCTGGTCACTAATACAGTCAATAATTGTTTCATGTTTATTCCATGTTCAGTTATTTTGTTATCATTTCACCATACATCAGCTCATTTAATAATATTTTATGAATTCTACTTTAAAAATAAAATTTTATTATTGTAATTTATTTGTTTGATGTTTTATTTGCATTATCTGTGAAAACAATGTTCAATGTTCACTGTCTGAGACCAGTTCACAGTTTAACACATCTTGTTGGAGATAACATGATGCAATAAAAACATCTGACATATGAAATAGTAACAGTCACTATGCAAAAACTAACCTCTTCCTTAAGGTCTCATAACAGTAATTCAACTCAAGGTCAAAGAGCATTAATTTACCTCCTCTAAGGTCTCTGTGAAGTTGCTTTCCTCTTACTTAAGGTCTCTGTGCAGTAATTTACCTCTAACTTAAGGATCCTGTGCAGTAATTTACCTCTAACTTAAGGTCTCTGTGCAGTAATTTACCTCTAACTTAAGGTCTTTGTGTAATATCCAAAATCCTGTCAGGATTTAACTCACAATGATAAGGGCCCAGTCAGGTTTGAAGTTAACAACCTTAACCACCCATCTACAATTATAACTCCCGTACTGTGTGCTGGAGTAACTTGGTGATTGAAAAACTGGTGTCCAAAATGCTTGAAATACATGTACTGGTGTTCCATAGTTTAATTGAATCAGAATAAAATTACAACAATCTTTCAATAAACAGAAACAAACTGAATATTTGTCCACTCATCACTAAAATAATTTGTCTGGTAAAATACCTAGAGAATAACACAATTTGTGGAAGAATATTATAACATCATAAAGAAACCACTGTGATCTTCCTTTACAATAATCAGAAGCCTATCTTGAATACAAAATAGACAGTTGTTCATATCTTGTGACATCAAATTGATAAAATAATCTCCCTTTTTCCAAGTTAAAGGTTCACACTGGGGACCTTCTTACACATTTGACATCAAACACTTGCTATTCAATCAATATAGAAAGTGATAATAACCAAATTAATTCCTTTTATTAAGACCTAGATGGCATTAGAGTATAAAAGTGTTGTACATCTGGGACCCGAGTCTTTAACACAGGCTGCATAGCAACACCATTATTTGTCTTAATTAAAGACAAAGTGAATGTATCACCATGACAAATGACAAAATGTTAAAGAAAATTTCTCATTTTGTCCAAAAACAAGGTTTCACCACAAAATGTTTTGCCTTTTCTCAAGAACATTTTTCCCCCAATTACACCATTCATTATCAAAAACCTTACAAATGAATTTCCTATAATTTGAATGTTTTCAAAATATTAATTAAAACCATGCAGCGGTCTTCAGATGCCAGCTACACTGCATAATGACTTTTCACTTTGAACCCTAAACTATAGGAATTATTAGGAGTTTACCTGATAATTATAAAAACATCACCTCTTTTGCACAGTGGAATATAAAAAGTTTCTTCCTTGACTACTTTTAAAATGTGTTTTATATATACAGTAAAGTCTCGCTATTGAGACCACTTTGGGGTCCTGGTCAAAATGGTCTTATTATCGAGTCGGTCTTAATTTGGAGACCCATGCTAATTTTTACTATAATACGTATTCTGGAGTAGGAGGATATCATTAATCATTAGTGATTGGGATCATTGAAACATAGCTGTTTGAATAACATAAACAAATTAACATGAATTTTATTCAACAAAAAGATGATTTATTTATTGAAATTATCACATTTATGCATCATTTTATGCAACTAAAAACGACATCGAAAAGACATTTTTTATTTTCAACAGTTTTCACAAGAAAATCTCATTTTAATCATTGTTGTTCAGTTGTTGAGTTCTGGTGATCTCTTGCATACTCATTTTTGTTGGATGCTTTATTTCTCCCACCCATCTAAATGTGTGTCCTTTTGTTTCAGGATTATTCGGACCTAAAGTTAAAAAAAATACGTTTTTTTGTTTAAGTAATATTAAAATGTATCTATAATTGTTAAAATCTCTATTGCCATTTAAAACATCATGAATCATTTTTTTTTTTTGTTCTGAATTAATTATTTTCCGTTTATGATTCTAAATTTTATTTCAAAAGACAATTGTTATTAAATTTGCAAAAGCTGTAAAAGTTCTGACTCCGAATTATAAAATATCTATTTTTATTTAACATAGACGAAATAACCTACCTATCCGAAAGTGTGTGTTGTTAACGCACCGGTCGTCTTTCTTCGATTTCGCATCAATTCAAAATAATAAATTGACAGGAACGTTGACACATTTAATCCCATTCCTTTTAATCACAAACAGCTAATCTCACTGATAATCTCATCTATAGACACTTTAAATTTCAAACTGTTAATTGATATTTTGAATGTCTCTTCCATGTACCGCAAATCGTTCACACCTTCATGGTGGTTGTCGTTAAGTGTTGTAAAATTGTTTGTTTATTGGAGATAATGGATGACATGTAGCGAGCAGAATAAATTAGTGGTCGTTTTATTGGACCCCGTTTGCATTGTTAAGTGACATTTTTGACCTTTAAAAGCGGTCGTAATAGGTAGTAGCCGGTCGGTCGTAATATCGGGCCTTATGACCATTGAATTATATAGGCAAAAAATCGGGACCGGAAAAAAGCGGTTGTAATATCGAATTGCCCGTAATTTAGGGTTGGTCGTAAAGCGAGACTTTACTGTACCATGAATACCTCAAAATCCTAATATTGTAAACAAATATTATCTAAATATTTGTTTAATTTTGTCAAAATGACACTGCTAGCAAGGCACAGAATCAACTTTCTGTGTGAAGATGAAATTTCTTACCAAATTTAAAGTTTGTTTTGTTTGGTTTTACGGTGCATATATCAATGCAGCTTGGTCATACGGCACCAAATCGGGAAAGATGAATTTGGCTTACCTTGGGTGAAACACACTAAAAGCAACACCCTACCTGCTAATGAGACTCAAATAATTTAAACCCATTTAGCCACCTCTTATGATCCCGCAGACTTAAACTGTTACTGGCTGCAATTCTAATGTCCCAAATCTTAAAGGCAACCCCAGTCTGAGCCACAAAACTAATGTACCAGTAGGAATATTTTCAAAAAATATAGTTAATATATTAAATATCAATCTATATCAAAACTGACTTCACTATTTTCAAACTATTCAGTTAAAAAAATAGCATGTCTTCATTGAAAAAATCATCCCCTTTTTTAAAATCATGATATTTTGTTTATACATGGGCAATTAAACTTCAAAACATTGCATATAATACAGAGGTACACATTATAATCCTCTGTTCAAATACAAGCATGATGTAATATATTCATACTTATAAAACATCTAAAACCAAAAAAAAATCTTATAAAATGGTAAGAAGAATAAAACCTATTGTTTTCTTCTAGACATTAACAAATTTCCATACATTATACTTTACTTTCCTCCAAAAGACAAAAAAAAACACAGCAAGAGTATAGAAGAGGCATAATTACATTTGTGACCAAACATGGAACTTGTTCAGAATAACAAGCTTGCCACAAGTAGAAATCTACAGCAAAAACTTGTCAGGCCTCATTAGTGAAAAATTGGCAGATTTCTCGATGATTATCCTAACTACATTCTTATCAAATTGTGAAAATATCATAAAAAAACGTTTTTTCGGAATTTGGATTTGCCTATAAAGCAACAAAAAAAAACATAACCAAAATAAATATTATGTTGGGCGAAATTTGAACGACATGTTCCGGATTTAGTCGACCTTATTCTATTTCTGTCTTAATAACTAATATTAGAAATAGGAAGGTGTGAAATGCTACTCAAAGACTAACAAGGCAAACTTGTGTCTGACTGAATGACTTGTAATTCTGATTGAACTATTTTGTGAAAGATTCAATTCCTACTGAGAAAATTGAAAAACATGACTTTCTGTTGAAACAGAAAATGTTATCAAATTAATGAGGTTTCTTCTGTCAATCAGAAAATTCCTCATACCTAATAACATATTAAAATTTCATTAATTAAAACAATGTTCATAGACTACTGGTAAGTGTGATAGAATTCAACAATTCTTAGATACACTACAACCTGTTATAACTGATATTTTATATATTGAAATTTAAAAATGTTGGGTGTGTGATTTACACAATTGATCAGTGTTTGCTGTCACACCTATGAATATGAGATTGTTATAACCCATTGGTACCTTACTGATCAGCAGGTAAAATGAACAAAACAGCAGATTAGTGCTAATCTTCAAACATTTTTGGCCTACAAGTGTCCTAATAACAAATGTTTATGTACTTGACTGTCACATTGAAAAAGCATTATAGTGGACACAGTGCATTATATAATTATTATATACATGTAAAAATTTATGATCAGGAAAAATTACAATTTTTTGAGCCAAAGTCTTCTAGCCCTATATTAAGGTAAGTGTTACAATGGATATTGTTGTTCTTGTTGTTCTTTTAGGGCATATGCAAGAGAAAACAATAACATAATAAGATGTATATACCTCCAACAAATACAGTCTTGTAATAAATGTATTATATCTTTATATAATACTGGAATCCCATATTGTTTTATATTGAAACAACTCTAAATTCAAGGCAGGGCAAATCTACATTATACATTTCACAAATTTGACAGGATGAACTTTTAAGTATGCTTAATAAACCCCTTATTATGATCAAACCTTTTTTCCATTGCTTTTCAATCTGCACAAAAGTTTACTACAAGTGTGATAACCCTTATGTTCTGAGGTTAATAACATTTCTAACATGTTGCCTGCATGGTCAAAGAACCTGCTACTAATGTATTTTTTGACATCCACCTAAGGCAACACATTGCACTTCTTCACATGTTAAGGTATTCCATCCATTTCAGCTTGTAGACATTAAAAAAAAAATCTTATAACTTTATACATCATACAAATTTTGAAAAGTGATCAGTAAACAAGATTTTCCTGCTTTTTTCTCCCCTTATTATATTCAGTTTTATTGAATCTTATAAAGAACAATAAAATACCAATTTTTTACAAACTAATCATGGTTGTGTTACCTTAACAGCTGATGTAATAAAATTCTGACTGACAGGGAAACCCCCACTGATGATGAGCATTATGACCCTTGACCTCACACCATGGTAAAG